TCCTGTCACTGGGCACCACTGACAAGAGCTTGGCCCCATCCTCCTGACACTCACCCTTCAGATATTTGTAGGCATTTATAAGGTCCCCTCGCAGCCTTCTCTTCTTCAGGCTGAACAAGCCCAGTTCCCTCAACCTCTCCTCGTAGTGGAGATGCTCCAGTCCCCTCACCATCCTTGTAGCCCTTGTAGCCCTTAACACCTCTGCTGTGGGACCCCCACAGCACCTGGCAAAGGCATCCCATCACCGGTGTGCGGCCGTCAGCTGGGCAATGGATTCTGCTCTCCCTGCCTGGCACAGCCCCCAGTTCAACAAACTGAAGGTCTGTTTTAGCAGGATGCCCCTTTCACCCCCCTACCAGTGAGGTACCCCCCTCACCTTGCACTTGCAGTGGCTGTTAGTGATGGTTATAATCATTAACGATGGTTATAATCGATGGTTAACCTGCCAAAACAAGCTATTTATAGCCAACTGCGGGCGTTACCAACCTGCGCTAAGCCCGGGCTGTGGCAACACATGCTGCTCCCCTCCTCCCCCGCTGCTGCCGATGGGCTTCTGCATTTCTAATTATTTGTATAATTTGGGACACAATTCTTTCATGTTTTTTTTCTCCCCTGTTGAAGTTCGTCTGGTCATACCCCAGCATCTGAATGATCCTTTAGACTCCTAGGAAAGCTCTGGCGGCAAGTGCTGGTGGGCAGATGCAGAGTGTTTGAAGCGGGGGGGCTCGTCTGTGTAAATTATCCTGGAGTGGCGAGGTCACAGCTGGGCCCGTCGTGCTTCCCCGTGTCCAGATGCGGGTGGGACAGACAGACAGCAGGACAGGCAGACAGGTTCCTGATTCAAGATAATGGAAAAGACACAAATGAGCATCAACCTGCTGTACAATGCGCATTTTATTTCTCCCTCTCCCCATCAGGCATGGTCCTGTGCCCACCACTCCCCCCAGCTCCAGGTAATGCTGGGACACTTGGGGACTAACTGGGGGGAAACCACCAAATGGTAGGGATGATGACAATCTGCCCGTCTGGCCACTGCTTCCCGAGCCGAGGCGTCTCACAGGCACTGGGCGCTGCGGGTCTCTGGGGTCTCGGTGGTGGCCGGTGACATCTCCAGCCCAGGGCATGAGCACCTGTGGGAGACGAGTCAGGAGACCTTGGTCCTTGGGGTCAGTGCGGCTGCGAGCCGAGGCGTCTCACAGGCACTGGGCGCTGCGGGTCTCTGGGGTCTCGGTGGTGGCCGGTGACATCTCCAGCCCAGGGCATGAGCACCTGTGGGAGACGAGTCAGGAGACCTTGGTCCTTGGGGTCAGTGCGGCTGCCCCAGCTGCTGTGATGAAGAGGAGGGAGGAGGCCGGTGGGTGGACCTGGGACAGGGGAGCACGGGGCCCCATGGCACCCGGCAGCCACCAAGGAGGGTGCACCCATGCCTGGGGTGACAGCCCGCAGCTACTGCTCGCTGGGCATTAACGAAGCTGCCTGGGAGAAGGGGGTGAATTAAGGCTGATCCCGCTCAGCATCCTTGCCAAGTGACTGTGCAGGATATGTCAGTGCTGAAATCCTCTTCACCTGCCACCTCCCAGCCCAGTGACAGGTCCCCTGGGGAGGCATCGCCATTTGCCCAGGACAGCTGCCACCGCCGGGGCTTCATCCCTGCGCACCTTTAGGGGAGCAGCTCTGCTTTGCACCCTGCCCGGAGCCAGCCCTCTGCAGCACATCGCTGGCCAGGACCCCCCTCCATAGGGACACCCCACAGTGCATTTGGGGTGCACAACCTTCCCCAGCCCGGTGGACCCTCCTACCAGTACCGCACGCTGGTGCGGGGAGAGCTGGTCGCTCCCAGGGCTGTCGCAACCCGGTGCCGGGCGGTGCTGGGCGTGAGCCCTGGGACCGGTTTCTGCTGCTGGGAAAGGACAGGCAGCAGGGTTTGCTGAAACCACTGGGGTGCCGTGGCCTGGCCTCTCCCAGTCTCACCAGTCGGGATTGTCAAAGGCAGTGTCACCCCGCTCCGGGGCAGGACAGCACCCAGGGGCTGCGGAGACAGCGAGGCCACCCCAATCCTGCCCTGGTGCCAGCAGCCCAGCTCCGCCGAGGCACCCGGTGCCCTGGAGCGTCACTTCCACCTCCCTCTCTGCAGCTGCTGGGAGCCCACAGGGACACCCCAGGGATGCATCCCCCTTGCCAACAGCCCTGGGGGGTCACACCATCCCCTGAGCCGTGCTCGCGGGGTGAATCATGGAGACGTGCCGGAGAGGGACGTGCTGCCTTGCCCTTTCCTCCGAGAGTTTCCGAGCTGGCGGAAGCAGAGCATTATCTCCCTCGCCCATCAGAGGCAGCTGCCCGTGGGTGCGCTCCATCTGCATATTTATACAGATGCAAACATTGCACCCCGGAAATTCCCAGCCTTTACATCATGGGCCAAAGCCTGACATGGAGGCTTGACCTTTTTCTCCCCCTCCACAGGTTCTGGGGAGCCTGTGCTGGGGTCGACCCTGCCCTGGGACATCCCACCCAGGATCTCGGCCATGGGTGATGCTCCCTTGCAGGCAATGGGACCCTCTTCAGCATCAGGACCATCGCGACAGCACAGAGCTGCAGGGGGGCACAGCACACCTCCAAGCTCCCACGAGACCAGGGCTCCTGCACAGCTGTCTGGGCCCACCCCACCTGGGGAACGCAGGACCGCCCCTCGGCCCTCTCCACCTCCTCTCCATCCCAGGAGAATAGGACCAAGAGCAGCTGGCACTGCTTCAGATACAGCAATGGCATCTTAAAATCCAGCCCTGTTGTGTGGTCCTCAGTGCCTTTGTGAAAGCCGTGGCTGAGGACGCAGGATAGGGACCTGCCAAGGTGGGGGGTGTTCCTGCTGTCTATCCCCCCCCGCAGTTGGGTGCAGATGCTCCCCACCCCTCCTCGATGCCCTCAGTGTGTGCCACCGCTCGCTGCCTCCAGGCTGGCACCCCCAGCACCCCAAAGCCACCACACCAGTGTGCTCGGCTGCACTGTCAGTGACAACGCAGCTCCTCTGCTCCGTACTGCACCAGGAGGATGAGGAAGAGCCAAATTTAATTTATTCCATGCTGCATTTTCATGCCAAATGAGTCAGAGTGCCGGCCTCGCTCAGCTTTTGTTTTGCTTGGCTGCTAGCACCAGCTTTTGCTTAGTGTTCGTTCAATGTTTAACTCCTTTGATGGCACTTGGGCTAAAACCAGCAAGTGCAGCAGAAAAAGCCACTTCCGTGCTGGGGCAGCAGCTTTCCTGGCCTTCAGTTCCACTCAGGAGCAATGCACTTGTTTTATTTTATTTATTTCTCAGAGCTTGATGAAGCCCCGAGCTTGGTCCTTCAAGCCACTGCATCCCACAAAGACCCCTTTAAAGCTATCAGGGGTTGCAGGGGCTGCGGGCTGGGGCTGGAGCAGCTGGGGTGGCTGGCGGTTTCGGGG